AAGAAAGATAAGAATAGTAATACATTCTTAGTAAAATATTGACAGTGTTGTGGGAATTGGTTGTTAAGCATAGTGATAGCATTTGAGAAAAAACTGTCTTTGTGTCTAATTGTTCTGGTGTGATATAGCATCATTTTGAGGGTAGAAGTTGAAACAATTTATGTCCAGGATGTGAGGGGTCTGTAGATATTTTCACAGCCCTCTTTTTGACTCGTGCAATATACAGGCCCCTCAATGGAAGGCAGATTGGTAGCAATTGTTTTTTCTGCAGTTCTAATTATCCGTTGAAGTCTGTGTCTGGTTTGGTTGCAGAGCCAAACCAGACAATTATGGAGGTGCAGATGACAGACTCAATAATTCCTCTGTAGAACTGAATCAGCAGCTCTTTGGGCCGTTTAAGCTTTCTCAGTTGGCTCGGAAAGAATATGTGGTTTGTTTCCAAATTTACTTCTAAAACTCATCAAACAGCATCAGATAGGTAGTCCTTGACTTATGACTGTAATTGAGTCCAAAATTTCTGCTGTTAAGTGAGACATTTGTTAAGTGAGTTTTGCCTCATTTTACAACCACTCTTGCCACACTTGTTAAGTGAATCACTGCAGCTGATAAGTTACTAACCCAGCTGTTAAGTGATTCTGGCTTCTCCTACTGACCTTGCTTGACAGAAGGTTGCAAAAGCTGATCACGTGATCCAGGGACACAGCAACGGTCAAACATATAAACAGATTTCCACTTATCTGAATTTTGATCACATGATCATGGGAATTGCTACAAAGATTGTAACTGTGAAAAATGATTGTAGGTCACTTTTTTCACTGCCGTTGTAACTTTGAACGGTCGCTAAATGAACGGCTGTAAGTCGAGGACTACCTGCAATTTATTTTCTTCTCTTGGCGACAAATGGACAGTAAAATATTCCTTCATGAGATTTATTTTGTGACTGGAAGGAAAGACAAGGGGATGGCCTCCAGAAATGAGGTTGAAATTACAGTGGCAATGGGTACACTCTTGGAAGACCTGAAGGACCATGCTGGGGACTAAACATCTTGGAGGAACTTGATCTATGTCAGAGGTCTTCAAACTTGGCAACTTTAAACCACAAGTCTTAAAGTTGCCAAGTTTGGGGACCCCGATCTATGTGGTCACTGATGCTAACTTGATGGCCCACAATTCTGTCATTAAACGCCAAGAATGCAAGGCATGGGAACTAGGGATATCAATACATTTAAATTATATCTAATGAAATGCAGAGAAACATTTGTAACAGAGCAACCATGTTTTTAACTGAACTGGCTTCAATATATCAAAACGACGCACAGGCAATAAGTTAGGGTGGCTAAAACAAAAAAGTGTAGCAAACTTATAAGAGGCAGCAAATACTACTTTTTGAAGTTGTCTCCAACCTCTTTGTTAGAGAAATTAACAAAGTTCACTAAAACGACTGCCTTATTTAGAAAAATAAAAATAGAAGAAAAAAGCAAACTTATTTAAGATGATGTTATACTTCTGAAGTAGATAATATAACAATAGCACTTAAGACTTATATACTGCTTCACAATGCTTTATATCCCTAAGCGGTTTACAGAGTCAGCATATTGACCCACCCCCCAACTATCTGGGTCCTCATTTTACCAACCTCAGAAGGTTGGAAGGATGAGTCAACCTTGAGCCTTGATTCAAACTGCCAAATTGCAGGCAGTTTGAAGGTAAGCAGAAGTAGCCTGCAGTACCGCATTCTAACCACTGTGCCATCGCAGCTCCATATAACTGATAGATTGCTCACAGTTCAAAGCAGGTGTCAAAAACCTTCCTGTGTGCGATAATTGTGCAACCACTATAGTTTGTTTGTTTGTTTATTAAATTATACCCATCTTTCATTTAGGAGCTCAAAGCAGCATTCATGCATTCCTTCTTCAGGTGCCTTATGGGGCTGAGCCTTGGCTTTGTAGAGTTTCATGGAACCTGCCAACATCTCATCCCTCCCAATACACAACACACACAAAACCTTAGAGAGGTTAAGTGATCACCTACTATCCACAAAGGAATGATCCTATTACTTCTCTTCATAGGATAGGAAGGAAAGCGGTGAGGGCCAGAACACTGGGAAAGAATGCAGCAAGTTCATATTATAGTCTGTTGATACTTCACCTCTAAAGACGTGATTTTTTCTTTAAGGAAAAGTTTCTACATTTAAGAAATTAAGAAATGCCTGAGCAGGGGTTTGCACTAGAAGCAGTGGTGGGATTCTGCCGGTTTAACAACCGGTTCAGAGATTGCGTGCTCCGCGCATGTGCACAGTTTTAACAAAACTTACCTGCCATGTTACTTCTGGGGAGTAACACAGCTAAGACGCAGCAATTCTCTCTGCCATGCGAATCCGCTGAGAAGATATAGGTAAGTAAAGCGCAGGGGCGGGCAGGCCTACTGGAGCAAACTAGTTCGCTCCCCAGCTGATCGTCAGAACTGCCAGTTCGCCCGAACTGGTCCGAACCAGCTGAATCCCACCCCTCTCTAGAAAACCTTCAAGGTTCCTTCCAACTCTGTTATTCTATTCTATTCCAAATTAATTACTGTGTTGTTTTTAATTTTCAAGTTATGTCACATACTACTCAGAACCGGTCGGAACAGATTGCTACACAAATAGTAGCAATAAATAAATATTAAACAATAGCGTGAACAGTATGTGGGAAAAAAGAGTTTACAATGCTACTACAGAAAATGTTATATCTTTATTACTCACTGAATTTTCTTCATCATCATGAAACATGTCACGCTGTTGAGCCTGCTGCATTTTTAGTTTAATATCCATTGCCTCATTAATCATATCTCGCAAGATGAAAACTCCTTTGGCATTTTTTACAAATGGGTGCTAAAAAACAGATATTAATTTTTTAACACAAAAGTTAAAGGCAGTAGAGAAGACAATCAGAATCCAAAATTGTGTTAATACAACTCTAAAGAGAATGCTAGTAGTAACTTTAATGCAAAACCAGGTCAATTTTGTTCAACTTATTGTATATAATGTATACAGAAAATGAAAAATTGATACACTATTCTATAATATTTTAATAAACAGAGAAGTCCAATCTGCAGGATTTAGTCAGTCCGTTTCAGCCTCTTTGGAAACTCCCAAACTCCCAAACAAAATTCAGAGACATGATTTTTCAAAGTTTGATAAAATGAAATTGAAAGACCAAAAAAAAAGGAGCGCTTCTCATTCTCTTCTCATCCCCATTAAAAGCTTAGAAGAAAACACTACTTTGTTAAGCTCTCCAAACATGTATGTGGAGGGAAGGGCTCCATATTTCCTTCTATTCCAGAATAGCAGATACTAACCTGAAGCAATTGCGTAGCAGTGGCTCTTTGTTCTGGACACTTCACAAGACATTGTTTTACAAAATCTGTAAATTCGTCTGACCATAGCTCTGGCTTTCGAAATGTTGGTGGTGGATTTGTTGGAATCATGAAAATTGCCTGCAAATAACAATATTGGTTTTTGCCCTTTGCTCACGTTGTATCTAAGCAAAAAATTGATGCACAAGAAAAATACTTTCAAGAGCCCAAAGGGTCAAAGCTTCCCTATCATTTTTCTGTAGATCAAAAATAGGAGTACAACTTCATGTGGCTATTTTTCTAATCACAACTACTAAAAACTGGTGGCATAGGTTTCTGCCATACTGACGTTGGAAAAGAGATGAAAATTATAGCATTAATCCTGAAGTAGGTATTTTAAAAAAAAACCTTTCTCAAGAACCCAAAATCTGCCCAGATGTGAAATGGGTTCTTATATAATGTCATTCTTGGCCTCACAGAAAATATTAAAGGATAGCAATGTCCCACTTCAGAGCACAAGGCTGAAACAGGACATTCCTCTAGTCTTCCCCAACATATTAAATGCAATGGCACCCCAACTATCTGAATGGCCCAGATTGGAAAAGCTATTCTAGTGGTCTTCATCCTGTTTCAGTATACAGATAGTCCTAGACTTACAACAGTTTTTGTGACCATTCAAAGTAACAACGGCACTGAAAAAAGTGACTTATGACCGCTTTTCACACTTACCATATTTTTCAGAGAAGAAGAAGCACCTTTTTTCCTCAAAAAAGAGGCTGAAAATCTGGGTGGGTCTTATATACTGAATACATTTTTGCCTCCTGAAACCCCACCGCCTTCGCAAAATGGCCATGCATAGCTTGGAGGAGGCTTTCAGAGAGATCCTGGGACTGGGGGAGGGCAGAAATGAGCAAAAAAACAGCCCATTTTTTGCTCAATTTTGCCCCCCCCCCAGCAACACTATAAGCTTCCTAAGGCTATTGATGCCCCTTTTTTTGCAAACGGGTCATTTTTTGCTCATTTTTGGCCCATTCACCTTGAGGAGCACTCTACAAGCCTCCTAAGGGCTATTCATGCCCTTTTTTTTGAAAAACGGGCTGTTTTGGGGAGGTTTGCAGAGTGCAAAAACTTTTTTTTTAATTTGCCTCTTCAAATCCTTGGTGCGTCTTATACTCCAGTACATCTTATATTCCAAAAAATAAGGTACAACTGTTGTGGCATCCCATGGTCATGTGATCAAAATTCAGATGCTTGGCAACTGGTTCATATTTATGTGGTTGCAATGTCCCAGTGTCATGTAAATCCCTTTTGCGACCTTTTGACAAGCAAAGTCAATGGGGAAGCCATAGTCACTTAACAACGGTATTACTAACTTAGTAACTGCAGTGATTCACTTAAGAAATGTGTCAAGAAAGATCATAAAATGGGGCAAAATTCACTTAACAAATTCCTCACTTAGCAACATAAAAGTTTGGGCTAACTGTGGTTGAAAGTCGAAGACTACCTGTAATTAGCAACAGCACTACAATATATTTCAACATGGGCTACTTTACATATTTGCATTCAAATGACTTTGAACTTTACTGAATCCAACTTCCTGCTTAAAGTGGGTTGAAAATGATAAAAAATTTATTCTCTAAGACGACTTAAGTTTCACACAGATGTTTCACTTATGCACATAGTCCTCACTTCATTATGGCAATTGGGAACTGTACTTCATCGCTCAGTGACACAATCTTAACACGTAATGTCACGTGACCACACACTGATTTAAAAACATCAGTTGGCAATGAAGATTGCAAATGGCAATCATGTGACTATGGACATTGTGACATTGTAATTGCAAGCTGAATGCCAAGCACCCAAATCACAATCACATGACCACAGGAACCACCACAACTACAAAGATTTGTCATAAGTGAATGTGTGGTCATTCAACAAGATTGCCTGTACTGCTGTTTACAAAGGAAGGGAACTTGAGTCTTCAGGCAGACTGTAAAAATTTTTGAATATAGTTATAGCTATTCTAAGAGTAGACAGAAAACTGTATTTTTTTAATATAATGGTAGAAATTATTAAGTGTATGCAGTATAGACATATTTAGTAATCAAATTTAGTTTTTGTTTTATGCCTGCAAAAAGTTAGGCAAATCTACTTTACTACGCACAGTATCCTCATCATGCACGTGGAATTTTATTAAGCTGGTGTTTAGATACTACATCTAGCAAAGTAGGATCAAACCAAAGATAATGAGAACTAGGGCTCAACTTTACTAGTGCATTAAATCTACAATCATCTTCCTATTTTGGACCAGATACCCAGCATTTACCCTCATTGGATGAATATCAGCATATGGAGGTTTTCCTTCAGCCATTTCAATGGCAGTGATACCCAGAGACCAGATGTCTGCCAGACAATTGTATCCAATTTCTTGGATCACTTCAGGTGCCATCCAGAATGGAGTTCCTATCACAGTATTTCTTTTTGCCATAGTATCCTATGAAGGGAGACAAATTTTAAGGAAGTTAGCTTTTTAAAAGGGGTCTGGTAAAAGCATCTGCTGATCAATTGTTCAAATGCTTTCAAATTTTCTGTAAGCTATACTATAACCTTAAATTACAGATACTGTAAGCTATATTAAACATCTCTGCACCAGATTGGTGTGGTGGTGAATATGCTCTTCTAGAAAATAGGAAACTATGAGTTTTAGGCCTCTCTTAGACAAGAAAGCTAGCTGGATGACTTTGGGCCAATCATTCTCTCAGTCCAACTCACCTCACAGGGTTGATGTTGTGGGGAAAACAAAAATAAGTTAGCCATCCTGAGTTACATATACATAAGGAAAAGTGGGATAGAAATATAATGGTAACCCATCTCCTAGAATTTTCAACATATTTGATAGTAGAGATGGGCAAAATACTCTGTACAGAGTAGCTTGGCTCAAGTTGCTCATGCCTGCACTGGAACATATAACTTTGTTCCAGGAAGGAGAGGCAAAGAAAAACCCAAAGGACATTAGTGGATAAGGGAAGAGAGAGGCAGAAAGACCAAGAGAAAGGATATGATGCTTCTGGTAAGGTGATAGGACTTTTTGCTGAACTATGAGTGATGCTCCCAATCCAGCAGAATGGCAGAGGGGAGAGAAAGGAAAAAAGTGGAAGATTATTACAGATAGCCAAGCTGGTAGGATATGCTGGGTTGGGAGCAATGCACATCAACCTTGTCCTGTTCAACCTGTCTGGATTTTGTTTCATTCAAAGCCTAAATAAGCAAAGCATTCTGAATTTCAATTTTTCTAAATTATGCCTGGCCTGAACAAGTTAGCAAAACCTCCAGAATATAAAGGTTCTAGGTTGAAAACACTTCTCCCACTTTGTGCACATCCAAGTCAATAAAGATACATTCAAATGAAAATAGATAATTTCTAAAAATCTAAAGCTTACGAAAATCAGGTTATTTATCTATGCCAGTAGTTCTGCCGTGACCATCTCATATTAAACAGCAACATATGATCCAGAAAATAATACTCCTGCTTGGTTTACATATATTGAACTAGAATGTTTACTTGGATACTGGCATTTTGTGATGTTTGCATCCAGTCAATACAGTTTGTAAAAACATTGTTAATATATTACTATGCTCCCAACAGTGACTTGTTAAACAATCAAGTCTTTGCACAATATAGGAAGAGTTGTATCAATGGTTCTGCACTTACAGTAAGCTGGCCGGCTACCCCAAAATCTGCAAGTTTAGCATGTCCTTCTGTATTAAGTAATATGTTGCCAGCTTTGATGTCACGGTGTATTTTCCTCATGAAATGTAGGTATTCCAATCCTTTCAGAGTTGATTGTATTATTGTAGAAATTTCATCTTCCATCAGCTGTAGAAGAAAACTTACTAAATGAACAAATAGTCATTGCTAAGACACTATTATTGTCACTTAAAATACATGTCTTATATTAGGATAGGGGATGGAAAAGGCTACAAGATGAAAATGCGACTTATTGATTTCCAGTAATAACAAATTTCCAATGGAACATAGAAGGAATGTTCAATTTTTGCACTTTCACATTTTTGATTATTTAATAAACCAGGCTAACATTTATAAAGTTCATCAACTTTTATTCAAACTTTTTATCCAAAAAATCCCCTCAAGCATTTATACAGATCCTAAAGCAGCACATACCGTTTTATTTCGTAGTCGAATTATATCAGACACAGATCCGGCACCGCAATATTCCATTACTATCCAGAGGTCCGTGTTCTTAAAATAGCTGCCATAATATTTGACTACATGAGGACTAAGGAAGACAGAACATATTACTGAATTGACTCAAGTGCACATTTTGCAAAAAAAAAAAAAAAAAAAAAAAGCCAGCTATGAATCAACCTACAATTCTAGGATTGGAGGAGTATTAGGATCTTAAGAAAAAGCATAAACTCAGAAAAATGAAATTCCATTCTCTGGTTTTCAACTATGTATTTCTATTCCTATTTCAAAGGAGAGAATTTTTTTGCACAAGACAACTCGTGGAAAAGTTTGATTTACTGGTTTGCTCTAAGGATTGAGCTGGCAAGGCAAAAATCAAAAAGCTGCAGACCTTGGCAAGACCATTCTGTAAATATGAGACAGCACTTTCCACATTCTGTTCTGGGAAAACACTGTCAAAAATTACTAGTACCATGAAAGACAGGTGAACAAGATCTAGGATTTAAGTCTTGAGTGCCCATCTGACTATCTCTTTCCCTCATACATATTTACCCAGGCAAAGCTGGATTCCTGGATTCTGCAGCAATTAGGCAGCTATGACAATTAGCAATACAAGTTTTATTTAATAGTGTTAAGTCTTTGAAACGTCTGGTGTTATTTAGCTATAACTATGGGAATGATAGCTGAGTATCTGAAGTCATGTTTATCTAAAGTCCAGCACTTCCAATAGTTACCTAATATTTTACAGGACATATACTAATAAAGTAAAATAATTCAGTTCAGGTATAAAATGTTATTCAAGTTGATAATTTTTATAACCATTATATTAATATTAGCCACAACTTTTCAAAATATATTCCTCTAGGTTTAGTTTCTTACAATAGTATATACTGTATATATAATAGTACATTTAACAGAGAAAATTGTGCAATATATATTTTCATTGTTTTCTATCTATTATCTTACTAACATTTAAAACATTTCTTTAAACACCCATACATAGTGAAAACAATCAGCTCACACAGAGTTCCCCTGATGTATTGTTCTGTAGAAATTCTTCAGTTGTTTTAAAATAACAGCAATGAATGAATGGTTCACATATTCTTGCTGTAGGAAAGGTGAGTCCTCTTCCTACAACCCCCCCTCCCCCACCTACACACACATTCTTGCTTCCTTTGTACACTAGTGAAAATTTGCTCTAAAGCATTTGGGGATGGGGGGCGCAATTCTTGCAAGAAGGATAGGCAAAGACAAGGAAAATGTTTTTCCTAAATTCTTTCATCAGATCTCAATCTCTTCAGCAAATGGAATAATCCATTATCAATCAAGTGGGACAGCTTCACAGTTTTAACATATTTCAGATTGCTATGCTTTCGTTATGAATCTATTTTAAATGAAAATGCATAATTAAATCATACAAACTCCTTTCAGCACCAATAGGTTAGGGTTAGGGTTTATACATATTTCTTTTAAAAAGATCATATGGGCTTTGGTATATCTACAAATATTCCAATAATTTTCCAAGAAATCATTTCCAATAAAAATATTTTAACACAACATTTAAGCTTTTGTATCTCACCTTTCTTTAAATAAACTGAAAATTTCTGAAAAAACAACAACATTTAATCACTTTATTACAAGCTAAACATGTAATCATTTTAATTTAAAAATAAATTACTGTAGTGAAAGATGATTGTGGGAAATTGACAGAGCTCTCTTATTTTGGGGGATTGCCACAAAGGAGGAGGAGTCAAACTATTCTCCAAGACACCTGAGGATAGGACAAGAATCAATGGGTGGAAACTAATCAAGGAGAGAAGCAACTTAGTACTGAGGAGAAATTTCCTGATAGTTAGAACAATTA